AAACCAATGTAAATCTGAACCCAATGACCTGCGTAGCAGTTGGCCTGCGTGAGTAGTTGCGAGCAGGCATGCAGGTCAGCGAAGGCTCGGATGCCCAAGCAGTTGGACGGGTGCAGCTGAGAGCTCAGGAAGTCGCAGCACGCCTTCTTCACCTCGTTCAGCTGCAGCAGACCCGCGGCTGGCAGCAGGGCCTGACACACACGCACACATACACACACAATGCCAGGCATTTATTGAATGTTGTGAAGACGAAAAGACGATCCAACAATGTGGTAAACCCTGTCGCAGCTTTTTTTGGAAACGTGTTGCAGCCATAACATTCGAAGTGAATGATTATTTGCCACAAACAATTCAATTTGAACATGATATATCTTGTCTTTGTAGTTTATTCAATTCAACGTAGGTTGAACATGACTTCCAAATCATTGCATTCTGTTTATTTAAACCAGGCCAGATTCGATTTTGCACCAAAAAAATAATCTAGAAGTGTATTTGCATTCCTGAATAAAAATGTAAAAAATGTGTTCACCAGTATTCTCAGAATTATTTGTCTTGCTAATAATGGATTCAGCCTCTGCTTCAAAAAATCCATATCAGTCAGGCACTACGGTCGAACACTTGTGCTACCTGCACATTCTCCTCTGTGACTTTTATCTCAGCAGTGTAGATGTAGTCCACCAGGAGTCCCAGAGTCCACCCGTCCATCTCCTTGATCCTCACACGTTTGGCTCGGCTCTCGGCCATCTCCCCTGTTGCACACAAACCGTTTTGTTTCCCCGTCGGAAATTTATTAGGGGAGGTGTGAACGGAATGGGAGGGCACCTGTGAACATGGCGTGGAAGTACGGACTGCCGGCGGCGAGCACCACACGGTGAGCGGAGATCTCCACGTCCTCCGCTACGATGGTGACGTCACACAACAAGCTTTGACTGTCGGCAAAAGGACAGATGCAGTGGATAGAAAAAGTCTTCACACCCCTGATCCAATGCCAGGTTTTGGTGATGGACAAAAAAATGTACATGTTTCCACCATTGTGACCTGTACAACTCACTTGGGAGGAAAATATGATTGATTTATTGAACATCTCAACACAACATGAAAGACGTGCAAAAAAAACCCAAAAAATTTTGCATTGGATGGCAAGCTTATTTGCTTCCTTTCCTCTGTCATCACACCTTTCAGCAAGGTATGATACAAACAAAAGGAGGAGACAAATGTGAAGTGACTTATTATTATATTACCTGCGCAGTTCATTCATGACTTTGAAAGCTTTCCTCATGTGTCGAGGGTTGAGCGTGACCGCACCTTGTCTCTCCACACCATCCTCTTTGTCCAGAGCATGTGGACAAAGTCTTGTGCACCTATCTCACACACGCACACGCACGCACACACACACACACACACACACACACACACACACACACACACACACACGCGCGCGCACACGCATGCGCACACACAATGCAATGCACAACAGGGGTGGTGAGCCACAGTAAGAACATACAAGCTTATTTTTGGCCTTTATAGTTTAAAGCCAGGCCAAACCCTGGGCTGATATGAAAAGAAACGTATTTAGTACATGGACGGTGGGCCACAAATGGAACCCGGGCCATAGTTTGGACACCAGTGCTCTAAGATCAACCCTAACTCTACATGAAGAGCAGGATGTGCTGTGCTCAGATGAAATATGTGGAGATATTGGTAATATTGAAGCAGAAACAGCAGTAGGGATAAAAAGCTGTTTAACAAAAAACAAAACTACACTACAGACACTAATTAAAAGGCTGTGGAAGCACCCGTGTCATTGTGTTGCCTTCAATTATGGCACACCCACGCAAACACCAAAAAGAAAGGGAATATATATAGAAACTATCACGGCAATAACATGCTCATGCAGGTTTTCAACCAACATCACCACCCCGCTACCCCGCCATACACCGCCTGTTTCAATGCGGCACCATCCGTCACATTACCAAACGTCAACACGCACACGTTCTTATTTCTTCATTCAATTCCATTTCTACTCACGGTGGATGCGTGTCCATGATTCCGCTTGTATTCAACGGCAGCACACTTGACCCAGCGGCATGCACCATTCCATATCCGCGCGGTGTTTTCGTCCTCCTAATCGGTCGCGGCGGGTGTGGTGGCGGAGGAGGGGGTTTGCTACACCGGAGCCCGACCGCGGTGACTCTCCGTGCGGACGCGGGTACCGAGGCGAGCCGGCGAGCCTGGGAAGAAGAGGACCGAGCTAGCCGGTAGTCACTTGATGAGGTAACTACTTAGGACAAAGGGAAGTGACAGGAAGGCTAAAGGGAAAGTTTTGTTTTTTTTTTTTTATGTTCTCCCCGTGTGACCCTCTTCGTTACTGGGTGTTGTGAGAGACGAGACGGGCGAAGCTAAATGTTTTTTTTTTTTTTTATCTCCATTCTCCTTGCTGCTTGAGACGCACAAACAAGGAGACGTGAAAGAGGTCCTCGATGCCAACAACGAGTTACTAATAGAAACTACAGCGCCACTCAGAGGTAGGTGACTGATGTGATCGGGGGAATTATAGCGAGAAGCTATTTGTCCTTTGCCGGCCACCGTATTTTGACTTGGTGCACCTCTAATGTAATTATCCGATAAACTCAATGTGAACGATACGGATGCGTTTTGCATTCACTTGAGAACAAAACACAACTCCTGTTGGTCTGAGTAATTATTTTGAGGGCTTTGTGTATATGTTTGATTTATATTTCGGTGTTTTTGGGACTGCTTTGGGGAATAGTTTTCCTGTCGTTCTCTCTCTCTCTCTCTCTCTCTCTCTCTCTCTCTCTCTCTCTCTCTCTCTCTCTCTCTCTCTCTCTCTCTCTCTTTCTCTTATATATAAATTTTATTTATGTATACTGTATATATATATATATCACAATGAAAGATTAAATTATTAATATGTATTGTATTATGAAAAATAAAATATTGAAAGCTAGGCATTTGACAATGCTCACACATCAACGACCGTAGCCGATAAAGGTACTCAGGCTCAGTTTCATGTGAAGATTAGCTCACCGAAGCCTGTTTTTTTTGTCCTCTCGTCCATCTGTGAGGAGTGCAAACTGAGACAGACGATAGCTGTGAAGACGGCCAGTACAAGTCTGTCATGGTGTGAAGTCACCCAATGCGTCTGAGGTGGCATGATGTCAGAAAGATTTTTTGAAAACACCAAGACGCCATCAGTGACATGAGCTCAGTGAACACGTTAGGAGTGAGGCTCACTCGAGAGTCGTTAATACATCCATATATGAATATATTGTATTATAAGCAAAGAAATGTGGATAATTAAATTCAGTAAAAATACTCTTAAAAATGACATTTTGCATTCCCTAAGAGCATCTTTGAGAGACGGTGACTCCACAAGGGGCGCAAATTCCACAAACAAATGCCAATTATGACATTTCACAATTCACAATCATTACATAATGAAATAAAGAAAAAAATCCCTTTATGATTTGGGGGCCGCGCATGTTCCACATTGACAGAAACTGCCACGAGTGTACAAAAATAAAGTCGAAGCAAAGATGTTTGATTGTAAATGCAAAGAAATACATACACAAACTAATAAAGAAAATAGTAGTCACTCAGTTGAATGAAGGCAATGACAATTTTAATTGTTTTATTATTGAACAAAGTTGCAATATTATGAAGGGAGAAAAAAATGTGAAATTTACAAGAACGTTGCAATATAAAAGGAATAAGTTGTAAGATCATAAAGCTACAATATGACGGAGGAAAGAAGCTATTTTGCCAGAGGAAAAAAAATGATGTAATTTTAGAAGAATAAGGTTGCAATATTGCTTACAATTTTATTTCTCTTCTAGTATTACAACCTTCATCTTCAGTCTCGAAAATGTCCATATTTTTTCTCCTCACTGAAAACAGTATTCCACTGAGTGGTCAAAACTGTTTTACTCCAATCCTGTAGGTGGCGATGTTGCATATGACCACGATTATCAGGATCTAACTGTCTTCAACTGTATGTTTTTTTTTTTTGTTTTTTTTTAAGAATCCTGAAACTGTTCTTCCTCAAATGACCAACCACCAGCGATCACACTGTATGATTTGTCCTTGGCAGAGGGAATAACCTGTACAGCGACTCTCCAGTTCTGTCTACTCCATCAAGCCTGTGGCTTGATTTGACTTGTGCGAATCGTCCACAGGGGGATTCCATTAGTTGGGTTTTAAAGGAGCGGGAGGCAAGCTGGCCGACGCCTGCTCCAGGAAGGCCAGGGGTCCGGGTGGCGGCAGGTCACTGGGCTTGCGGTGCTGCACGCTGACGTCCTCCAGCACTTGTTGCCAGTGGTGCAGTTTGGACAAATGCTTCTGTACCAGCATCTCCTTCCTCTGGAGCTCATTGCGCAACTCGGATACATCCTGCCCAGCACGAGAATGGGGATGGTTTATGTCTGACAGCCAATAATCAACTTATCAATGTTTTTTTTTTTTTTTTTTAAGATTGCGCCTCCTGAGTGGCTGCCTCTCCAACAGTGCATATCACTGTTTTAGTTTCTTTTCGTCCTTGCGTGGTTTTGTACCCCAAACCTAGGGGGGGGGGGTGATGGGCAGCTTCATTTCTGCTCATCTCCTTTTTTTTCTTTTATCTTTTTATGTATCCTGTGAACGGGGATCCCGATAGCACACGCGACCCCATTGTTTACAGTAGGGACCAGCTGTTAGCATGGCGGGCTAACAGCGGGCTACTGGCCGGTGACAAACCAGACATCCCACGCGAGTTGAAGAGGAGGAGACGGGGATGTCGGGCCGGGGGAGGCGCGCCACAGATGGAGGAGAAGATACAGACGTCCTCCCGTCCGTCATCATGGGGAATGTAAGATCGCTCCCGAACAAGATGGACGAGCTGGCGACGCTATCGCAACATCAAAGGGAGTACCGCGAGGCTAGCCTACTGCTACTCACGGAGTCGTGGCTAACAGCGATCACTCCGGACACACATGCCGAGTTGGAAGGCTTCCAACTCATATGTGCGGACAGGAATGAAGGGAGTGGAAAGAGAAAAGGAGGAGGACTGGCTGTTTTTGTGAACGAAAAACGGTGCAATCCGAGTCATATCACGATCAAAGAGAAACTCTGCAGCCGGGACATTGAGCTTGTAGCGACGCCACTCGAGAGACGCGCGGCTCAGCAGTCGATAGTCCGCGGCTCTCCGCTGTGCGTGCATCAGCGCGGACGTGTACGCACTTACGTCTTTTGGCTTCAACCAATCAGTGCTGACGCAACGGACGTTACACATCAAAGAGCTTTGATCTACGACAACAGCTAAGCTAGCCTAGCCACGACAACAGCTAAGTTAGTTGAGATGAAACGACGCTCGAGGTCTCCAGTCACCTGTATGTTTCTCTTCTTTTCTTTCTATATATTTTTTTCTACAATCAATAGCTGTCCTATCCACGTCTTTTTTTCATCCCACCGGGGTTTCGGCAGTGTGGTTGTAAAGAGACCCAAAAATCTCTTTAAGCTGCTAGCCATTAGCCTCAGGCCCCATTATCTCCCGAGGGAATTCTCACACGTCATAGCTGTGACAGTGTACGTCCCCCCGTCGGCTAATGGTGATGCAGCGTGTGATGCCCTGATGTCTGTCGTGAACAGGCTGCAAACACAGAGCCCCAATGCCCTGCTGATCATCTCTGAGGACGTCAACCATGTCTCTCTGTAGTCCTCCCCCCCAACCTTCACCCAGACTGTAACACCAGAGACAATAAAATTTTGGACTTGTTTTATGCCAACACGAAGGAGGCATATACACCCCACCCCCTGCCCCCTCTTGGAAGAGTGGACCACAACTTGGTATTTCTCCAGCCTGTGTACAAACCCTTGCTGTACAGGCAGCCAGTTGTGACCCGTATGGTCAGAAAATGGTCCACGGAGGCTGAAGAGGCTCTGCGGGAATCCTTCGACTCAACCAGGTGGGAACTCTTCAGCGAGGTTCATGGGGAGGACATTGATTCACTCACCGACGTCATCACGGACTACATAAACTTTTGTGAGGAGAACACCGTATCCACCAGGACCGTGCGGTGTTTTTCCAACAACAAACCATGGATTAATCCCAACATAAAGGCCCTCCTGAATGAGAAGAAGAGGGCTTTTATGTCGAGAAACAGAGGAGCTGAAGGCCGTGCAGATCCAGCTGAGGAGAAGGATCAGAGAGGGGAAGAGGGCCTACAGCAGGGGTCGGGAACCTATGGCTCGCGAGCCATATATGGCTCTTTTGATGATTGCATCTTGCTCGCAGATAAAAAATATATTCTCGTTTGTTTATTAATGCATCCATCGATCGATTTTTCACTGCTCGTTTCCTCGTTCGGGCTGTAGTTGGCTCCAGGAGCCATTTTGATTGAATGATACTGGCCGATGTTGCCGTTGCTGTGGAAACAGGTATACGCCCACTTTTGAATCAACCCGCTCGGCCATTAGCTCAAAGCTAATCCTAAGCAAATAAGATGGCGAAAAGAAAAAAAGATGACGAGTTTGGTAGACTTCGGGACAAATGGACCGAAGGATTCGCCTTTGTGGAGAGAACGGGTTCTGCGGTGTGTCTGATTTGCAATGACAAAATGCCATCGATGAAACGGTCGAATGCAGCGCAGCACTTTGACACGCCCCATGCTACGTTCGCATCAAAATACTGTGCGCGAGATAGCGGAAAGGAAGCGTGCATGCTACTGAGCAGGGTGCAAGCTAGCCAGCAGTAAGTTCGCGTATGGACCCGGCAAGATGACTTTTCATTCCGACTGTTTTGCTGGATTTTTAGCAATCGTGAGGAATGGAAAACCATTCACATTCATGGTGACAAAATTATTTTAAAGGATACATTCAGAGGCTTATTATACTGCCATTTTGTTGAAATCACTTTAAAATACAGTTTTAAAAAAAAACTCAGTCAAAAAGCTTCCCGACCCCTGAAAATGGAGGACCAGCTACAGGCCAGTAATGTCACTGGTGTCTGGAGGAGCCTGAAAACCATCTCAGGTCACAAAAGCCCAAAGACATTGACTGGGAAGGACAAGGACTGGGCAGATGAACTCAACCGTTTTTTTCAACCAGTTCGACCAGACGTCTGTCCCTCCCCCCAACCACAAGCTGCACCCACTCTCACTGAGGACTTCCTCTCCTCCCCCTCCTCTTTCGACCAGCTCACAACAACCCTGCCTGTCTCCTAGTTCCTGCCTCTACGTCACGACAGAACAGGTGATGAACCAACTGAGAAAGATGAATGTGAGGAAGGCAGCAGGTCCGGACAAGATCAGTTCCCGGCTCCTCAGGACCTGCTCCGACCAGCTGTGTGACATTGTCCAGCACATGTTCAACCTGAGCCTGAAGCTGGGCAGAGTTCCATAGCTGTGGAAAACTTCGTGCCTGGTCCCAGTGCCCAAGACCCCCCACCCTAAGGAGCTGAACAGCTACAGACCGGTGGCGCTGACGTCTCACCTGATGAAGACGCTGGAGAGACTCGTCCTCGCCTACGTGGTCAGGACGGTGGCGGGGCCACTTACAAAAGTGGCACTAAACACGCTGAAGATGAAGTTTATTCAATTTAAACACTATTTGAAACTTTAACAGAAAAAAATCCCAAGATTGTTCACTATTCTTTCAAGTGAAAATGTGCGCAATTTTGCTTGTGCATTCCTGGTGAGCACCAACATGTAACTTCAAATTTGCTGCTCAAAATCAAAACTTCTACCGCTTATCCGGGGCCAGGTCACGGGGGCAGCAGCTTTAGCAGGGAAACCCAGACTTCCCTCTCCCTAGCCACTTCTTCCAGCTCTCCCCCGGGGATCCCGAGGCGTTCCCAGGCCAGCTGGGGAACATAGTCTCTCCAGCGTGTCCTGGGTCATCCTCGGGGTCTCCTCCCGGAGGAGGATGCCCGGAACACCCCACCAGGGAGGCGTTCGGGAGGCATCCGAATCAGATGCCCAAGCCACCTCATCTGGCTCCTCTCGATGTGGAGAAGCGGCTCGACTCTGAGCCCCTCCCGGATGACCGAGCTTCTCACCTTATTTCTAAGGGAGAGCCCGGACACCCTGCGGAGAAAACTCATTTCGGCCGCTTGTATCCGGGATCTCGTTCTTTCGGTCACAACCCATAGCTCGTGAACATTGGTGACGATCGGAACATAGATCAACCGGTAAATCCATAGCTTCGCCTTTTGGCTCAACTCCTTCTTCATCACGTCAGACTGATACAAAGTCCACATCACAGCAGATTCACCTGTCAATCTCCCTCTCCCTCCTGCCCTCACTCGTGAACAAGACCCCAAAATACTTAAACTCCTCTACTTGGGGCAAGGAGAGGAGTTTGTAATTGTTCTTGTGATTTCTGTTATATTATTCAGCCTTTTTGGCCAGCTAAAATGTTTCTTGTTAAAATTGGATCACATTGTTCATTAGTTTTTACTTGTAAATGTGTCCATACTGTACAGTGATCCCCTGTTAATCGCAGGAGATCTGTTCAAAACCCATCCACCATCGGTCAGATGGTGTAGATCAGGGGTGTCAAGTTCATTTTTGTCGCGGGCCACATTGTAGTTACGGTTTCCCTTGGAGGACCGTTATGAATTTGGGGAAACCATATACATGCTTAATCCCCTCCCCATATTACATACACAGCGCACAACAAATTGATGATTTACCGTATTTTCACGACTATAAGGCGCCATTAAAAGTCTTAAATTTTCTCCAAAATGGACAGGACGCCTTATAATGCGGAGCGTCTAGTGTATGCGCCGAGTTCCAAAGCCTGACTGAGAGCACTTCTGGCCGACACGCTGTTTATATAGAGAAAAGGTGGACGTGAGTGACGACAGGCATGCGGAAGTCCCGATCCGTATAGAATGACATCGTCACACACTGTACACAGAGCTTTACCGGCGACATCGAGCTTTTTCACGAAATCCAACACAAGCAAAGACAAAGGTTCCTCTTTACTGGTTCCTGCCGGGGACACCGTCAGCCTTCTATCCAACCAGTCCCATCGAAACGTGTTTTTCAGATCCGCATATATCTGACGCATTTTAGCTTCGTCACGAGGCTCAATAACATTCGGCATTCGCGAGAAAGGGGTTTAGGAAGGCAAACATGGATTGGTTGTGAGTCTGCATTTGCCGATATAGCGACCAATCACAACAAGTAAGACATTGGTTTTAGCCCATATAGGAAGCAACAACAAACTAACGCTACGCGATAAAAAATGGGATTCAAAATGGATGCTTGCAAACCTTACGAGCCCCGAATCTGCTGAAGACAAGTCCGGACCCCCCCCCCACCCCCAAGGATTTTTCTACAGATTTGGAACAATATAAAATAGGTCAATTTTGACTGGAAAAAAAGCGGAATTCCGCCAAAAAGCGGAAAAATCTCATCCCTGCTCTATTTATATTGCACTTATATTGAACTGGGTACAGCTCACATTTATTTTTGTGCTTGCAAACACTTTGTTTTTCTTCTTTCTACCCCCCAAAATTGCTGCTGTAGACTGTAAATTTCCCCAGTGTGGGACAAATAAAGGATATCTTATCTTATGAAAATAGAAAAATGCTGGTATCATTTGTGAATATATGTGGTCACCAAACTCACATTGTAGTATCTGTGATTCTGAGTGTGTGTGGCTTTAAATGGCAAGGCCTGGCTTGGTGAGTGATGTGGGCGTCAGGTACTCAAAGGAGTGTGATTGTTGGCTCAGCTTAGCGGCTGGCTGTTAAGCTCCTTGCCGTTAGCCAGTTTGCATTTTGAACGACTCGATGTCAGTTGAGTGCCATAGAAGCACCGGTATGAATCTGCTTATTGCTAGGACTTCGATTAATTGATCATCCGATTATGGCCAAAATAATCGGCAAAATGGTCGGTTTGCCTATTAAAGCCATCTCACCATTTACAACTTTATCCTTTCTAAAATATATACAATGAAATTTGTTGAGAAGATCGTTTTATGGAACAAAGCAAATCTCAATTTAAGGAATAGACCTGCATGTCACTATTTTACACAAAGGATACACGATAGTGATCGGACCGACATGGGGAAAAAAAATGAGGTTCACGTTCCGGGAACAAGAGCCACTTGAAATCCACTAACATTGGTTTGGTTACTGGTACTTTTCGGCATGACTATTGGCAGTAATATGGCGCGGCATGGGTGTGGCTTGCGAAGCACTGTAACAGTGAGCCAAATGTTACTTATTATTGGAAAAGATGAGGTTGGATGAATTAAATATGAATTATAATCTAGTACCTCTTTGACCACCTGTTCTGGTTTCTGCACAGACAGCTGAAGCCTCTTCTGCAAAAAGAAGCATTCCGTCTGCCGAGCCACGTCCAAGAACTTTTGTATGCACTGGTCCACGCCTGGAACAATCAGAAGCGAACAGTTTAAAGTTAATTTTCCATGTCATTCATCAAGACGTTAGGTTAATTTTACAAATAAAAAAAATGTGCGTTCACCGACCGGTTCGGATTTCCTCTTGGTCTGTTCCGTTCACGTAGTCTTGGCTTACCAATGATGCAAAACATGCCTGAAGAATAAATGTAATTATTATTAATAACGTTATTTAATTTTGCAGTCAACAAAACTTATTTAACCCTCGTGCCATGCAGGTACACACACATCATGTATACCTGGCATGCATTGTGTTGCAAAAAAAAAAAAATGCATGCCATGCATGGGTTTTAATCACTGTAACGTTGCAAAAATGCTAAAACCAGTTAGCAATCCAAGCTATTTTTGTAAGCGTTTTACCTCAAACGAGGCTTCCAGTTCGTCTACCAGCGTGTTGCTTCCCTGGCTCCGGTTCCCCGCAAGGGGGAAACCGGGCTGGCCCGGGCCACCTACGCCGGGAATAGGATGCGCGGTTGGCGCCTGCTGTCCGGGAAACATACCGCTCATGGACGACGCCATTGCCAAGCCAGTGCCGATGAGTTCCGGATTCGGCATGCGCATGCGCAAATACGCCTCTGTGGCCGCCATCTTGGTGGGGGCGATGTTCCTTCAGAGGAAATCCATGTAGATTGAAAATAAACCATAATTTGCAAATTTCGCAATCAAGTTTCAGGAAGATTAGTCTTGGAAACCCTGTTGAAATTTTGGGCAATGAGACAAAATTGACGTCAGAATCAGCAGCAGTTTTTATTGGCTAAAATAGCACATTTGAGTAAGCCTGGTGTGTTGAAAATTGAGCAGTAAGAAACGCAACTGTGTTAGGCTGTCAGCAGCAAAGTGTGCAGTCATTTTCACCAAGTAAACTCATTTTAAAAAGTAGTTCAACGGTTCTGGCTTGACTATATTGGACACTAGCTTAACGGCTAGCTGCTTTCCATTAGCCGTTGGTAAGAGGTTGTAATGGCTGTTCACACCAAAGAAAGTAGTACCCTAAGAAGAAAAAAACTCAAGCATTTCTTTCTTTCTTTTTTTTTATTTTTTAATCAAGTTTGTGAAATAACTCAAGAACTCATTTCACCCCTACTAAAGACACCCGCATTTGTAAAGTTGCTCATTTATTGTGCGCCAACGCAGCCGCAAACTCCACCAGGGTACGTGTGGGCCTTCCTGACATGCCCTTCTTCAAGTATGGAATTTCATCCTTGTTGCTCATCACTCCTGCGATGTCCAGATGAGCCCAGTGTGGCGAAGTGACAAATTCCCTCAAGAACGCCGCCGCCGTGCATGCGCCGCCCGACCTACCAGGAGCCAAATCGGAGATTGTTTGAGAATGTCAGACTTCCTGCTTTTCTGTTTCTGATACGTACCTGCTGTACTTGCCGATGTTGTTGAGGTCGGCCAGCTGGCTGTCTGTCACCTGTCTGGTGTAATGCTGGAACAAAGGCATTCGCCACACTCGGTCGCCTGTCACGATACTGGCCTACGTTGAGAAAACATGCTTTTTGTCAGCATCAGAGTTTAGAGATATGCATCCGCGTGTGTGTTTGTGTGAGACCTTATGCAGCTGCTCCCACAGCCAATCAGAGTTGGTGAACACTCCAGTCGCCGCCGAGCCTAGCGCGACGTCCATGGCCCCTTAGCAAACACACGAACGCAATCGTTACTGTATATGCATACTTTGAAAACAGGCATACCTGTTTCATTTTGAGCATGGGTAATTGAGATTTTTTTTTTTTTGTGCATCCTGTTATGATAGATATGTCCACCCAATCTGGTGTTTGTTATCGACGTTGATGGGAGTTGGGAACCCTAAAATCTTACCTGTTAGCGTAGCGACGTTGACGACAGCTTTGGGGTTGAAGGTATGTGCGTAACAGAGCGCGTCGGCGAGGATAAGGCGGCCTTCTGCATCAGTGTTGTCCACCTGTGCGTACAGAGAAGCATGCAAGCCTTTCACGGTGAACAAGGACAATCCATTTTCTAGACCTTTCAATGACATCGTCCACCGACCTGGATGGTTTTCCCGTTCTTTGCCGTGACGACGTCACCCGGTTTGGTCGCCTTGCCGCTGGGCATGTTCTCGCACAGTGGAGCCAGACCTGGTGGAGTCCAAAAAGGCAGTATACTACTAAAGGGGAATTATTACTGAAACATTACGATTTGTAAATTGTCCCTGGCCAACTATAAAGTGTCAAATTAAATAACCAGTGATAATCTTTTGAAATTTTCTGAAAATGTGTGTGTGACCAAGCACTTTTCAACTTTAAGCAAAGCCGCAGTGCTAGATTTGTTAGATCTGCATGCGTGACAAATGCATCCTGGTAAAGTGCTGCCTCCACAAGTGAAGATACGATACAATCAAAACTTTATGGGTACTTGGTTTATCGGGGGCAGTGTGTGTTACAGTTAAGTTTTGCGTAAGCAGCATTCATTTTTACCACAAAAGAAAATGTTTTTTTTTTTTAATAGAATATATTAGAGGTGCGACGATTAGTCAACAACTAATTGATCATCAAATTCTTCAGTCATTATTTTGATAATGATTAATTGTTTTGAGATCTTGTTTAATTTAAAATTGTCCAAATCCTCAGAATTTCAGTTTCCCAAACAGAAATATTCTCGGATTTCTGGCAGACTGATTATTTTAGTTTTTTCAAAATAAGAAAAGCATCTCCTTTTACTTTGAAAAACATTTATCAACATTTTTGCTGATTTTATGATGATCAAATCACTGGCTGCTTTTTGTGTACTGTCAATTTCAAACGATGTCCTATTTCTGAAAAAAGGGATGAAATTAAAACATATTTAAAACAAAACATTCTCATATAGCCACAAAGTTGGCAAGACTGAGAATCTCTGGCCATTATAGTAACCGAAAACCTCCTCCAAAAAATGCATGAAAAATGTGATGAAATTTTTGATCCTTATTGTATATTTATGAAGACACCTGAAGATTCAATTTTGAAATTGTTGAATAAGTTTCCTTTCATCCAACACGCCTAACAGAGCGAGGGAGGCTCACCGATGATGTTGACGGGCAGCTTGAGGGCAGCTGCCGTGACGACCGTGGAGCACACGGTGGCGGCTCCGCCCATATCGGCTCGCATCATATCCATGGAAGCCGAAGGCTTCAGAGAAATGCCGCCACTAGGAAGAGAGAGGAGGTAAATAATCTGCAAGCGCACGGGTCATCAGGGTGCGTTTGTGGCGGGTTACCTGTCGAAGGTGATGCCCTTGCCGACCAGAAGCAGCGGGGCCTGAGCGCTGTCGGGTGAGCCGTTGTAATGCAGCTCCAGGAAGACAGGGGGCTCCTCCGAGCCTTTGGATACACTGAGAAACGCGCCCATCCCTTGCTCCTCGATCCACGCCTGGGATCTGCGAGTCGGGTTTATATTATATCATCCACAGTACAACGCTACCATTGACACTTCAGTTGGAACGCTAGCCCTTAAAAGTAAAAGCTAAAACCTACCACTGTATATTGATTTGTTGGATGCAGAACAGTGGTTTAGTTTTGAATGCATATTAATTGAATTCACCTGGTTTAACAAGAGCAGAGTGCCTGACATAAAGCCTCAATCCAGCCTGTTTGAGATGTCTCCCTGCTCCGACACAATCAGGTGTGTTGGAGAAAGGAGAAATAAAATAGGCTTGAGAGGGGCTCTCAGGGACCTGAGTCGGGCACCACGGGAATAGAGCGCCTGTCACGCAACAAGTGAAAATATCGTGTTTTATCGCCATCTAGAGGTATATAAAGGCAGTTCTGAATATTTTGCATGGCCATCAATTGAATTGAATTGAATTGAATACAACTTTATTGTCAAATGTGCATACAGCACAGATGAAATGGCTTATGTTTTCAGTTTTCTTGGTATGTGTCCTGCAATTTCCGTATAAAATCACCTTTGCATACGACTACTACTAATGAGTAATACAATACAATAAATACTATACCTCTTATGGACTAATACCCGGTCGCCATATTGCGCCAGCCGCTCTTCAATGGTCTTGGCGAAAGCGGTGGGAGTGATGTGATTGGCTGGGGCCTCCATGAGGAGGCGGGCTAGGTTTTGCCCTTCGGCGTACAGCACTCCTTTCTCCCACGCTGTCAGTTCGGCACTAAACGCAACCATACACACGCACAAACACACACACACACACACACACACACACACACACACACACACACACACACACACACACACACACACACACAGTGTGTGCACCACCACATTTGTAACGCAGTCTACTGACAGTCATCTTAGCACAGCGCGCTAATATCATGAGGATCGACATGGTAATGCTCTCCGTCTGGCTGTCTCTCTGTCTACGTACATGTCTGACACTCATTTTAAGTGCACCGTGCGGCAAACAGGATTTGGGGACAAAGAAATATAATACAAAGACGATATAGACTTACAGCGAATATGCCTTCCAAATGTGCTTACTTCAAAGCTGTTTATTGCCACTTCCAGTTGACGTTTCCTGTCAAACAAAGAGAACAACACGTTTGGCCAAACTGCAAACATTGCCTTTATGAAAATACACTGGCTTAATGCTAACACACACACACACAGACACACACACACACACCCCCCCACACCCACACACACACACACACACACACACACACACACACTGTGTGTACAATCCCAACCACTATTGTTGCAAAGTAACTTAACCTGAAGAGAGGCCTGTTAGCCTCTGCAGTTAAGATGCGCTACTACATGAGCATGCTGGACTACTGAATTAACGACACTCCTGGTCATACCTGGCATGAGGCTGCACTGTCACTTTGGGCTTTTTCTTGGATTTCAGCTGGTCATACTGAAACAGGCCCAGTAAGGCGCCCTCTGCTGCCGCCTGAGGGTCGCCGCAGCCGTCCACCTCCACATGGTTCACGTCCAGGTCCTGGAGAACCCTGCAGCCCGCTGACACAGCCGCGCGGATGTTCTCCTTGGCGCAGTCCCAGTTCTCTGCCCCGCACACGCCCGCCGTGACTTCATCCAGACCGACTACGGCGACACACGGGAAGTCCTGGATGACAAACAGTCAACTAGTGACAAAACGTGCTGTTATAATTCCGTTTTTCTTCTACAGATGTGAAATTCCCCACCTTGTGGACTCCATAGAATACTCTGCTTTTGCCCTTCTTAAGAGACGGTCCAGAACTGCAAAGACATATTGTGTGATTGTAGTATTTGCACATCGAAGTAAGAAGCCCAAATATGGAATATGGAAGCTTTGATGGCGCAAAAACCGAGGATGACTAATTACAGCCAAGTATGCACAGATACCAAAAACTAACACTTGATGCCATTACAGTACTTCTTGTAATTGTGCTGAAAATGTGTTTGTGACTGCCCCCAAGCAGTGTTCATCATTTATTTTGCAGATCATAATTTGCAGGCACCTAAATGTTTGGTCATCCGTGTTCTTTAAGTATCAGCGCAGAGTATCGGAGCATTTTATGAATACGTACCGATTACCATACTGTGTAGTATCAGCACTGAAACCAATACTGGTATTGGTGCATCCCTAGTATTAAATGAAAGTAAAAAGTGTAACGACTGCTTTTCATTTTGTAGGACAATTCTACAGATTTGTCAATTCTTTTGCTTTTGTGATGTGTTTCATTGTAAAGCGCTGTATCACACACTTTTGATATCAAAAGCAAAAGTAAGATATGATTAAAGGACGAAAAGATGATTAATTGACTGAATATTTTTTTAAATGTTGGTATCGAGAAACTGACATTTTCAGTAATTCGGACAGCTTTCCAGACACTTTGCGGTCAAAACCTTCAGCTGCCTCCGTCAAATGAAGGCTGCCTTCCTTTTCCTTCTTCTCGAACACTCCCAGCACCAAACCCTGCGAAGGGCAAAAAAACAATGAAATATTTTAATTCATTAAAAGCTGACATTTCCGGAAAGAGGAGACACGGTCGGAAAAAAAATTAGGAGTGTCTAAAATGCTGAATTATGTCCGGACTACTGCTGTCACTCACTTTTCTTTCCATCTGGAGACTTTTGGAGACGCAAAATGTCCGACAGGAGTTGGTCCACGTGAGGGGCAGCAATACAGCTCTCCTCATAAGGAACATATTCGATATCTCGAGATCATGTGGGGTGGGGGGGGCAAAGTACAAAATTCTAACAGTACGCAGAGTCAAAGGTCGCACGCACGAGCTGTAAAGATACCAACATTGAGGAAGGCGCTATTTGTCGACGTCATCAACTAGCGACTGACAACCAACAAAAGTGATAAAAAAAAATAAAGCCCACGCAAAAACAAATAACCAACATTTAATTTAAATATGCTGTGAAATAGGTGCTTCTATGAATTCATTTAAACATAAACGACATTCTCAATGAAAACACGAGATTCATTTAAATGACACTGTTAATTTCAACTTGATACTTACGAGTAAGACTTTATTTTGGGGCTTTTAAATTTTCATTTAAATATTCTCCCAAGACCACTATCCCAAACAACTCATACACGTAACTCTATGGAGATACAATTTGTGTTATATCGATATTTATGAGCAATTCACTGTGGTGACACCTGAAAGGAGAAACAGTGTCACAACATTTATATAACAACAACGATCATAATAACAATTATTATTATTATTATTTACCAAGTTGTATACCAATTAATTCAAACGTTAAACATAAATCCATTCATTTTCTATAAATCAAGCAGATTAGGGTCACAGGTGAGCTGGAGCCAATCTGACTTTGGAAGAACATGCAAAACAGAGTTGTATTAACACTTACTTTATTTTAATTTAACCAGCAGTACAAGTGCTTACCCCAAACCTCAGAAATTCAAGGTAGAGGTGGTAAGCACTTGTACTGCTGGTTAAATTAAAATAAAGTAAGTGTTAATACAACTCTGTTTTCCATGATTTGAACAGCTGCTTCGGTTACAAAATATACTTCCTTGGCCATTTAAATTGGCAAACCATGAAGAATGTAACAAGAATAAGAAAAATCAACGGACACATTTATTTTATCTGATACACAGAGGCCTTTAGGGATGAATAGCCTCAGTAAATAATAGATATTTGAGCACATACAAAACAAATGTCCTTTACAACATCAGTACATGAACAACATGCAAAATAAAAAGAGCTTTTTAAAATTTTCTATGGTATCTCGTGTAATTTTGTGACCATGAACAGGAATATTGGCCATTATGTTCATGCTGTCTTGTTCAGATGATGAATGCAGGAAATTTATAAATAAAATGTATTATAATTATTATTATTTGATCCAATTCTCGTGTAACATTGTGTCTACTTGGCAAGTTTCTCGAAAGCAAACAGTCATTGGCACCATCTTTACTGTAACTGTCAGTAGAGTAGATCCAGTGAGGAGATGGTGGGCTGCTCAGGTATTTTGACCTCCGCTTTAGGCAGCTTGATACGACTCATGGCGACCACTCCACACACGGCCAGGTGAGTGGTTGCACTGGCAATGCTCAGCCAGAAGGACCAGTCAAGCTTGTCATCCAGGACGACCAAAGCGAAGAGATTCTCCCTGTAGTTGACCACGCGCTCGGTGAGGCTGTGGTGCCTCACAGCTGCCAGGAAGCAGACAGCAGCCAGGGTGACCAACACAGCTGGAGGCACAACAGGGGGAAGTGTTTTGGGGTTCAGTAGGGCTGGCCATTTATGACAAAGATTGTAACTTGTCTTTTTTTTTTTCCCCTCAGTATTTCGATTGAGAATTAATATGCAATTATTTTTTCAAGGTCCTCTATTTTTTTAACAATCACAGGCAATACGCATAATTAATGACCCCTGAAATGGTTTCTAATTGCCTCGAGATTCTCGAAGATGGCAGTAAAATATGACTTATGAAGGTCCTCAAGTCACTTCAACATAGTTTCTATTCACCAAGATTTCCCAAAACAATATTTTCAGTAGACAGGGCTTTTGCCTGAGCACTAAAACAGTAAATAGGGGAGTAAGTACTGTATAGATATATCCCCGCCAAAAATCTGCGTGTAAGTAAATTTGAGAGTAGCAAATCACCAATATACAGAGAATGGACAGGCAGATGTTTGCATTTTGTGTTTGAATAGAAGGATCAATGTTAACATGACGTATTTATGTGACTAGATAACGGATTCTTTATGTGCATATGTGAATGGATGGACAGATATGTGCTCCACAAATTCTACCTGGCAACAAGGGATCATGAAAAACAGCTGTCACACCACGAGGGAAAACAACGTCAGGATCCATACCGGCGATGCCATTCCACAGGTAGAGTCCCTTGTGACCCTTGATGCTCTGGTAGGGGACCTTGCGTGCATTGTAAATGCTGAAGGACAGACTGACCAGTGCAAAGAATACGGCCGCCAGCAGGAAGAGGATCACCATCACGTGAAGTCCGCCGTTCAGTGTGCGCACCAGCTTTGGGAAGACTACAGTACACACACATTGGGTTATGATTTCATTTTAAAAAAGCCTACTAGAACAATTAAGTTTATGTCATGTTAATAAGAGGCAATTGAAATGGTGGCAGGTGTCAGCTGAATGCCATGAGTTTGAATGTTAATTTCGGACCACAGCCACATCCCCATTTGTAAGAGGATTTATATACTTGTGCATCCACGTTATCCTAATTGTTTATTTTTACATCCACTCTCAAAAAGACTTGAATTTTTTTATAATTGAGCTGTACACTGATAGGTCAAATTAATGTTGGAAAAAGCTTTTCGAATATTTTGCGTGGGTCTCTTTTTTTTTTTTTTTTTTTTTTAGCCGAGAGAGTCATGTAAAAAAATTTTTAATTTTTTTGGGGGGGGTTTTTTTTTTTTTTTTTTTTTTTTTTTGGTATCACAAAACCTGGCTTTTGTACTGAGGTGTGCAGACTTTTTATGTCCAAACAACAACTAAGCAATGTCACACGAGAGGGATTGATATTGTGCTCACCAAGCTTTATGAAAGTAATTGTGGCTTGGTCATTGTTTTCCAAAGTAAAAGCAGTGCTTGTTAATGTCTTATTTTGAAAGAGAAAAGAGATTCAGTCTGCACTCATGACAGACTCGAAAAAAAATCTGAGAATTAATTATACTGTTGAGAGGTTGAAATCAGAGGATGTGGATGATTTTAAGTTAAACAATAGCTCTAAAAGATTACTTGACTGTTAAAATAGTTTAGATTAATTTGATAATCGATTAGTTGTCTGACCCATGTTGGTTTTAAGAATCAAATGTGACTGAAATTAGACTCCAAAGTTTGTCATGCATGCACCCCTGCTTGAAAGCTTTTTAGCCTACTGTGGATTTTGGAACGCCTGGTCCCAAGCCCGCACTTCTTGGTCTTGCCTCCGCGGAAGAGACCGTAGTAGACGTGCCCGGTGAACAGCTCCAGCTCAGGGTGGGACGCGTTGACGAGGTCGACGCCGGTTTTGCACAGGATGTGCCCGGTGACCCAGCGTTCCGTGGACAGGGCCACCAACAGGAGGGCCACGGATCCGACGCAGAGCACCGAGGCCGCCGAGAAGCTTATCCGTTTCCACAGAGAAGGCATCCTACGCCGACCAGCCCTGCGTGTCGCCCCAGGAGACGGAACACCGCGCCGGGCAGCGACCGCAGCCGAGAGCCGCCGGCCACCTCCTGCATCGGTTTATCCGGCGGGCTGAATTAGAAAAAGGAACGGTGGTCATAAAGTCGGAGCTGTTGGCACGCTCGTAACTAGGAAAGGAGTAACCGAATCTATGGCGGTCAAAGGGATCCCTTACCGGGGAGAAACTCTATCCCGTCTGCCCCGCGCTGCTCTTCATCCGAGGCAATAAATTACCTTTGGGAGGCATCTGGCGACCTTTAGGCATGGCGCCGAGACAAAAGATAAAAACCATACCCGCGTCGTTAATTACGTTCACTTGGATCCCAAAGGTTACAATTTACTCTCAAGCACAGTGTAGGGGCCACATTGAAATTGTAATTGAATAATACTTTATAGCATTTATCTATCTGTCTGTCTGTCCATACGAAAATAAGAAAGTGAAAAACGATAACAATAAAACAGCATTGTATTGTATTGTATTTTTATTTATATTTGATTATTTCTCTAATTTCTCAACTTGATCTAATCATGAAGCTGGCGTAAAAAAAAATTTTTGATACTGTAAGTCTAAACCTCTGTTGGCAACCACTGCGTCACCGTGTGCGCGATGACGTCTCATCTGACGTACACGTCAGTCTCCCAGGCAGCGCGCTGTGTCGCTGAAAAGATGGCGGACTCGCTGTCTACGAGTCTTGCGGACGATCCCGAGAAGGAGGACAGGGAGAGCGGCGGCAGGACGTCGAGGACATACAGGAGCAAGTGGAAGGATGATGGCAGGGATAGCCTGCGGTTCAGCGACAAGAATGGCAGTGGAAAGGGCAAGAAACGCAACCTGTCAGGTGGGAAAGCTAGTCCGCCCAGGGGCCACTCGGGATAGCCCCTCAGTTTGACAGCGATAGCAAGCAGCCGGAGGCTTTGTTGTTGTCGCGGTTGATGAGGTGGCGATCCGGGGGGAATCTGACTGTACTGCATGGTAACGTCCTTTGGAGACGTGCACCTAATTCTTTTAACGGCATTCGAGCGTCCCGTTGCTTATACAGTAGTGACAATATTGTGCGACCTGACTGTGTTCAACACGGCACATTGACACTGTACTGTTGATCGTTTGTCAGCACCAGCTTTTTGTGCAATGTGCAACTCTTTTCCTGGAATTGACTCCATAGTGCATGTTGTGTCTGTGCAGATCTGTCCTTGGTCAGGTTTGTAACCACCGAGCTCACCAGGGGCTACTTCCTGGAGCACAACGAGGCCAAGTACACCGAGCGCAGGGAGAAGGTCTACACCTGCCTCCGCATCCCCAAGGAGCTGGAAAAGGTGATGATTTGTGTCATAAATAAAACAATGAGCTGAGTTTTAACCCGTCTGATAGACGGGATCCTATCATGCACAAGCTTAAATTGGTGGCTGACCATTCCATTGTGTAACGGAAAGCACTGTGCATTTTTAACAAAATAGGCTTCCAGTCAAATTGATCTAAATTAAGTATTTTCACTGATTGACAAAAAAAAAAAAAACATCCCGACTTTCAATCTTGAGGTGAGAATTATGCTGCACGGCTCCCACAGAGTGAGCGAACAGGCGAGTTTTTCAACACTTCTCAGACAGTTGAGCGTACAAGACCGTGAATAGGTTTGCTCTGCAGCTATTTTCAACATTTTACAATTCTCAGCACATAAAAATATCTACCACTGACAAATAATTGACCATATTTGGACATAAGGGATTTCTGCCTGCCAGCGACGATGTGTGATGTTATGTCAGTTTGTGCTAGCAGGTTATTTAGGCCAGTATGCAAGGGGCTGATTGTGTTGAATAATTTAACTACCAAATACAGTTGTTGATGTGACGCGGGCTCATGATTGCCCACTTTGTCTCTTTTGTTCAGTTGATGACATTTGGCTTCTTCCTCTGCCTGGATGCCTTCCTCTACGTCTTCACTCTGTTGCCCCTCAGAGTGCTGCTGGCCCTCCTGCAGCTTCTCACACTGCCATGCTGTGGTCTTGGGTAAGAAACAAAAACCTCCCACCCCTGTTCCTAAAGTTCCCTGTAAAAGCGAGAATGAATCTTGCCAATTTTAGTGCTGTTACAACACTGCCAAATTTGAACGATTAAAACATTTGCCGAATACATAAAATGAGACGTGATGAAAATCCTCTTCTGCCTACACATCCCTCCATCCAGAAAACTGAAACGACAAAGCAGTTTAACCACGACGGTGGGCAATATAGTTTGTCCAATTTTTTAGCAGTTATCTTCACATATTTAGTTTGGATTTAGTTTAAAATCCCGGGTCTTTTACGTGTTCCTACATTGGCAGAAATGTGGAGCGCGTTATTATTAATTGCCCATAGAGGGCAGTAGATAACTTGGTCTTGTTCCTGCAGTGGTGGGCGCCTCCTGCAGCCAGCCCAGGTGTGCGATGTCCTGAAAGGCTTCATCATGGTCCTGTGTTATTCCATGATGAGCTACGTAGACTACGCCATGATGTACCACCTCATCCGCGGCCAATCTGTCATCAAGCTTTACATCATCTACAACATGCTGGAGGTACTCGCAGGAGGATGACGAGGATCATCATTATGGTGGCGGCTAGCCTTCTCGTCATCTCCTTTCTCCCTCTTGTTTTTTTGACAGGTGGCCGACCGCCTCTTCTCATCATTCGGCCAGGACATCCTGGATGCGCTGTACTGGACGGCTACGGAGCCCAAAGAGAAGAAGCGGGCGCACATAGGTGTCATCCCCCACTTCCTCATGGCTGTGCTCTACGTCTGTATCCTTTGCTATTCGTCTCCCCGACTGTCATCAATCCCGGACGAAATATTAGAAACACGTCCTCAATCAAACACAGTGCAGTTTCCCCATCATATTTATTTTTCATTATTTATTCTAATGTCTATTTGCATGGATGTTAAACCCAAAGTCATGACACTTTTCTTATCTGCTGGACAAGGCTTTACTCATTGAAGCCATTCCATTTCACTTCACCATAGTTCCTTGTTTACCCTCGACTTAAATGGATGGCCAGCACCTCTGTCTAGGTCGCATTTCATATTTCTGGCCGCCAGTTGCTTTGCACAGCAGCATAATAAATTAACAATACAGTCTAGATCAGCAATGTACTCATCGGCTTTTTATTATTTGCATCTGCAAATATATGTTTTACAGCGTGACATCGGCTGTTTAAAAAAAACCAAGAGCCTGTCTTTTTCAGAAATAAAAAATCACATGACTAGTCTTGAATTCCGAATCCCGTAATTGGATGGGCACATCTCGAGTGTACCGTTTGATTTCTTCAACCTGCCCGATATCAGTTCTCCACGCCATCCTCATCATGGTCCAGGCCACCACGCTCAACGTCGCCTTCAACTCCCACAACAAGTCGCTCCTCACCATCATGATGTCCAATAATGTGAGTGGTACCTGCCATCTTTTTTTCAAACTTTTCCTGTCTATTTTTTGTTTCCGAAGGGGAATAAATGAACTGCCTCTTTGGGGAGAGCTGTTTCCATTTTCTCAAGTGAACGACACAGCCGGCGATTAATTGCAAAGGCATAACTAATGTTGTGGCCAATAAGTGCAAAGTCAAGATTCCATCCATTTTTTTAATTAGTTTTTGTCTCCATGCAGTTTGTGGAAATCAAAGGAAGCGTGTTCAAGAAGTTTGAGAAGAACAACCTTTTCCAGATGTCAAACAGCGGTAAGTGGGTCCACGCACACGATGAAGCCAAAATGTAAAATTTAAGAGGCACTTTGTCGGTTAATCCAGGCTTCCTTTTGTCTCTTTGTTTTGTTTGTCGCCCGCAGACATAAAAGAAAGGTTCACGAACTATATCCTCCTGCTCATCGTCTGTTTAAGGAACATGGAGCAGTTCTCCTGGAATCCCGGTAACCATATTACACAAAGACGTGTACCAGAAAAAGGGACCCTTAATACGTAGCATTGAATGCTACGAAGTCGGTCAAAGTGTCAAGAAGTTTCATAGTTATTCGGTCCTGTCTATTATCCTCAAAACATGACAGGAACACACCATTTTGGGACACATCTCTTCATCAGTCAGGCGTTGGACAAGACCCTTTTTTTTCTGCATAAGTTTTTTGTGTTCGCGTGTGTGTCGCACACTGGTTATCCACCAGGGGATAATACAATACTTTACATAGTTATTGCACAAAGAAGATAACGTCTTCTAATATCTTCCTAATCTTTGCAGTATGTTCTTTGTTAAAAGAAAAAAAAATCCCCCGATATGTAAAAGATTGAATATCAGACACCCATGCTGTTGTTGTTCTCTCAGAACACCTGTGGGTGCTGTTTCCCGACGTGGGCATGGTGATCGCCTCCGAAATAGCGGTGGACGTGGTCAAGCACGCCTTCATCACCAAATTCAACGACATCAGCGCTGACGTGAGCGCCGTTCACACCAGAGGAAGCCCGCCGAGGCAGGATGTTGCGACACGTCTGATAATTTGTTGTCTTTTTTTAACGTCACAGGTGTACGGAGAGTACCGAGCCAGTCTCGCCTTCGACCTGGTCAGCAGTCGACAGAAAAACGTGAGATGTCGCAATATTTTGTGTATTTGGGGTTGGGGTTGGGGGTGGGGCATTTGTGCGTGCGTGTATACGTTTTAAATCAACTAAATTGGAAATACAAGTTTGTGTTTATTGTCATATGAACAATAGGTAGACATGTTGATTCAAGATTTTGAGTTAACAACATATACAAATTCTACCCACACAGTACTGATGAATTAAAGCTACCAAGATATGGGTGACCGGGTTATTGGTATAGCTGGATTAAAAAAAAAAAAAATACTCATTGCAAGATTTTCAAAAAAGAAGTAGCACATTTCCTCTTGCCAGGGGTCGCCACAGCAAGTCACTCACATGATCTGTTTGGCAGCTTTTTTGGTGATGGCATACCTCCTGTTGTGGATTGTAGATACGCAAGTAAAGAAATATACAGATGATGGTTGTGGGTTGATAATATTGTGCTTGTGCGTGCGTGCGTGCAGGCATATACAGACTACAGCGATTCTGTCTCCAGGAGAATGGGCTTCATTCCTCTTCCTCTAGCACTGCTGGTCAGTTGCCTGATACAGAAACATTTATTTCTTGTCATGTGTAGTGCAAAGTTATGTTGCATCCGCTTCTTTACCCAGCTGATCCGCGTGGTGAGCAGCTCAGTGAAGATCCAGGGATCGCTCTCCTTGATGTGTGTGCTGCTGTTCTATTTTGGGTAAATGTCGGCCTTCGTGCTCACTTTTTTTCCTTTTTTTTCCTAAGTACCTCCCCCCACGGTGTCATTTGTTTGTGAGCAGGCTGATCACTCTGAAGGTGCTAAACAGCATTGTCCTGCTGGGCACGTCGTGCGCCTTCGTCAAGGACGCAAATATGGAGGAGAAACTCTTTGACCCGCCGCCCTCGGCCGTGTCCAGCCGCGTCAACTCCCGGGCTCACCGCACCAAGCCACCTCACACTGCCGCGACGCAGCAAGGTAGCATCAACGACATTTAGTTAGCACAAAAACTAGGATCCTAACACGCTGGAGACGCTATGTCTCTCTTGTGGCCTATGAACACCTCAGGGTTTTGCCGGGAGAGCTGGATCTACCCCCATGACCCAATCCCGGATAGGATAGGGATACATAGTGGACAGGGAGTGATTCCTAGGAAAGCCACTGTGACTAAACCCCACAATTCCCCCCACAGAACCGACGACGGACAAAGCCGGAATACCCTTGGCGTCAGTCAGCCCGCAACCGGTCTACGTGGCAGAGAACACCACACTCCCCGGCGCCACGCTCGCCAAGAGCGACTCTGACACATTCCTCACCACACCCGACGAGGAGGACGACGTCATCAAGATCATCAACACGGACACGGGCATGGACGAGGAGGTGCTGGCGCGCCGGACCCCCAAGAAAGACTTGCTGGAGATCGACCGCTTCACCATCTGCGGCAACCGCATCGACTGAACGCCACAACGGCAGTGGCGACCGATCAGTATTTATTAATTTATTACAGACACAAACCAGCTGAGGCTTGAAGCTGTTACTACATGCCGGTCCGTGGCAACAAGTTCACCAGGGCTTGCTGGACCCGCTGCCGGTTGCTGCGCGACCTGCTTCAGACAGCGTGGAGACAGCAGTCACGGAAACCGGCGATGTGAAACTGTTGCTGTCATGGGTACAACTGCGCAGTGTTTTTTTTAAAAGCACAAACCATAGTTGGCCATTCTTTTAAGAAGAAATTAATTTGAGAGGGGTTTTTTTTTGTACTTCTTTTTAAATAGTGAACTAATTTGAGGTTTTTATCTGAAGTGGTAGACTTGTAACAAGTTGGAAGTCTGTTGCCATTTTTTTAAAAAACATGTTACTGAGTCATTAGGCCGTTTCATGCGGTCTGGAAAAGCCGGCAATTGTTTTGCCTTCAGGGTAGTTATCTTGTTTGCTAGGGTAGAATAATGATTTGGAGAGGATAGTGACTGAGCCCTATCGCGAATCATCATCTGACCTCTCCCCAGTATCTACAGGTGTGCCCCAGGGCTCCACCCTGTGTCCCTTGTGCTTCATCATCTCTCTTGTCCTCCTCAAAAATCGCTTAAAAATAGCATTTATTATTATCATTAGAGTATCGTTAAAAAGGAGTGCTCAGGTGCCTTGATGTTATTTGGTCAATATGCACGACACAGGAAGAATTACAGCACAGTTAGAAACAACATGGTTTTGGGGGGGGTTGGTTTTGTCTCATGCAAATGAGCACTGTTCACCAGGCACCTCTGGACTATAGAACCAACGCAGATTATAACTTTCGTTCGCATGGTGATGAAGGACAAAGCGAGGGTTACTACGAGTCAATGGTGTAAATAAAAAAGCGAACTGGTAGAAGACAAATTTCATTACCAAGCTGCCAAATTACGCAAAATTAATTGAGCACATTTGTGCATGTGGTGGAAAAAAAGGTCACTTTTACATTATAATTTCCCTTCAACACCTGACACTCACTTCTTCCACCCTGTAGTTTTGCTGCGTCAACGCCGATGACTCTGATGTGGCAGTTTTGGGGGCATTTCTATGTGTGAAAAAGGCTAATGACAACCAATACAAGTATAGCTGAACACCTTTTACACCTGGCGTGGGGAGACGTTTTTTCCGATCAGGTGACATTTTTTAACGCGCTCAAAGGGCCAAAATATGGTGCAATCAAATGTTATATATTTGATGAGCATCTGTGGGGCTTTTTCTAACGGTCCCGCTGAGGTCCGCGGACCAAAGGTTGCCCACCACTGCTTTCAGTCCAGAAGATTTTTAAAAATCTTTTGACATAGCGGGTATGGGAGTTTTAATGAGACTGCCCTCATATCATGTGGTTAAATGATCAAATGACCAAATTTGCTCTCTTTTTCTTCTCGTCATGTGCACGAGCATCCGTTTTAGCTAATTTTGTTTCCAAATAATCTCCGTACAATCCGTCAAGAACAACTTTTTGCGGGTAAAAGGACTGAAACAAGAACATTTTCAACTCATTCTACATAAAATATATGAAATAATCTGTAAAAAATGTAATAAATTTTGGGTTGTAAATGTCTTTTGACACCATCCCGCTGATCCAGATCGGTGGGAGGTCACCATCACATTGTTTTTGTACTGAATTATTTGTAATAGCATGAGAACATATTTAAAGGCCGCTATCATTTGGAGTTAAATTCCGTTTTGGTTCCATCTGAATTTTAATTTCAAAAACGGCAAACAACTCCACTTCCCTCATGCTTGTCTCATGTTATATACAGTGGCGAGAAAAAGTACACACACCCCTGTTCAAATGACAGGTTTTTCTGATCCAGAAGAAGAGACCATTTGAAAAGTTTTATAAACTTTTACAAGAACTGGGAAAAAAAAATTGAGAGCTAAAGTAAAAACAAACAGCTGAGGTAATGTGGTGGCATAAGTGTGCACACCCTCTTACAACTGTGGATGTGTCACAATCAAACTCATGTTGAATGCAAATAAGCACGCGCTTCCCCCCGCCCATTTAAAGTGCCTTTGATTAACCCCAAATAAATCGCAGCTGTTCTAGTTTTTTTTTCCCCCTTAAAAGATGTATTTTTCAATTGTGTTGCCCTGATGATCAGGCACATTAAGGATGTGAAAATTTTTGATCTGATTTTTCTTGATTTTTTTTTTTTAAATTAAGTGGACTCCCGCATATTCGTGATTTGGCATTCACAGATTTTTTTAAATATATTTTTGTATTTTGGGGGGCTGGGCAAACCCCATTTTTAATGAAAAACATTCTTAGTTATTTATCCCATCCTCCATCCTTATCTTCCTGGGTCCACTGTATATCACAAAAACCTGGCATTAGATGGTGGGTGTGTAGACTTCAGCTGTATCTAAATACAGCCATCTCATCTTTTACTTGCTGCCTCTTTGATTGTTTAACTGAACAATGTTACTGATAGCTTCTTGATTCGCTTCTTGCTCAGTGAGCGTGTGCGTGCGAGACGTCATCTTCACAGAAGAGGAATAAAAGTTTTTGTTTTGTAATGCTTTCTTGTGTTGTGTTTTAATACATTTAGTGACCTCACCCAGCTGGACTAGTCATGTAATCATGTGTTTAGTATTGTGGTTGTATTTTGAAGTGGTGTACAACTGCGCCGCATTGAACTGACAGCTGCTTTTAATAATTGTGGGGTGGACTAACAAATGGTTTGAAACCACTGTCACTTTGATGCAGTGCAATAAGTTAGTTGTTTTAAAACATGAACAAACAATTTATGATTATAAATAACTCATGTCAGGGTAAGTATACGGCATGCATGGGAAAATGGCCGAAAAATCACAGCTATCAACATTTTCAAATAAAAAAAATATGGGGCTGACCAGGGGCCACAGAGTACAATGGGGGGCCATCGCCAACCCTGGCCACCATGGTGCCCCTCTACTAAATTGTTCATTGTCTTTACACGATTTCAGTGCTTAATTTCAAAAATAGTTAATGTATTTAAAAACGTAATCATATTTTATTTGCTTCTTGTGTGTCTATTACTGATTTCATTGTTCAAATATATATATATATATATTTCAAATCTTATGTAGACAAATATGTCAGTTTTTATGGTTTCTTATTTTCTTGATGTATTTAATGTATATTGTAGGTTTTCTATATATACTTTCATATGACATACAGAACAAATATTTAGTTTTAATTTGCTCTATTCACAGTCATTATTTACACAAACAGAATTATTCGCAAATGGTAAATTCTCATATATTAAACATGTTATGCACAAAATTTCAATATAATCATTATTATTTTTATTTAATACTGCTCCTGCATTGAATCTGAATTAAAATGGGTCGGGTGTACCTTATATTGTGTCCGAATTATAAAAAGATAATGGTTTAAAACCGCGTAACTCAAGGGACCGTCAAGAAATGTAAGCACTTTCCCCAAGCATTCGATCGGTTTCTCTACCTTGTGCTCATCAAATTATTCAATCACAAGATTTTAAAGTAAGCTTCAATATCTTTAACACATGTTCATTTCGTTTCCGTTTTATTTTTAATTTTACGCAGCCATTATTGTGTGCGTTATTTTGAGGACGTCCTCTGGCCGGTGTCAAACGGGATTTAGAGCTCAGCGGGCGGGCGGATGAGTGACAGGCGACCTGCTACATGTCCTCTTTTCACTCCAACCAGTCGAAGGAGCGAAGGACCCCCGGGAAAAATGCGCGTCGAAAGTCCGGACGGAGCCGACTGGAGATAACGAGAGTGTAGAGATAATTACTGCTTGATTGTGTGGTTGTACCCTGCTCAGGTGTGAGGTCTTCCGGAGCTTGGACTGGAGCGGGCAGGTGTCGAACCCCCCGGATTTAATTTTTGTCTTTCACCCCCCACCCTCCTGGAATTTGTCTTTTTTTCCCGCTTCCGGAGCCATGTTCTGGACACGGTGGCTCGTCCTGCTGCTCTGCTGGTGGAAGGCCGCCACCGCCACCACCACGGCCGCGAGCGGCCAGTATCAGCAGCCGAGGCAGGGTGACCCGAGAGCGGACACCCACCAGCAGCGCTCGCCTCCACCGGTGGAGCCGCTGGATTTTGGCTTCGTCCCGGCGGCGGTGTACGACACCCACGCGTACTACGAGCCAGGGACCATCGGGATACTCTTCCACATGGTCCACGCTTTTCTCTACATTGTCCAACCTAACTCCTTCCCTAAAGGTCAGATTATTAGAAGTTATTCGGACTCATAAAATCCTTTATTATTTTTTTCCGGTATTCAGCGACTTCCACATTTCTTCACCAATTCAAATCATTCCCAATTGCCATGCCCTCAAATTGCCTCCGAAAAAGTTTTCAAAATTTCAATGTAGATTTTCCCAAAGTGGATCTCAGGATTTTTAATGGGTCATCAATTGTGCCCACAGTTTTTTGGGGTGGCACAGAGGTTCTTTTTTGATATTGTTTTTTAAAATAATTTACACTTGAAGTGGTTGTTCGATCGTGACATACAAAAATCCTAAATCAAATTTTCTATGAATACAGTTCATACACTCTTGTGTCAATTGATTAGGTGCGTCTAGGACTGGGCGATTCATTCAAGTTGATTTGTCAGAACAAATTAGTTTTTGTTTTTTTGTAGATTTTGTTGTTTTTTGCAGATTCCGTAGTTCAAAACGTGCTTCTGCGGATGTGTACTGCTTATACAAACATAGACCGGAACAGAGTGGAGCTCGTTTACAAAGACCGTGTTTCCAAATTAGATAATTATTTTCTCACTATAATTAGCCACCTTCTCAACCCTTCTCCATACAAAAGATCATTTTTGAATCTCTGGTGTAGCTGGTTAAGATGGAGGCCCTCACACGGACAGTCCAGGTGGCATGTGCCGCTAGCTAAACAACAAAGTCCAAATGTGTGCCATCGATGAGCATTCGCTATTTACACACCGATGCTATTTACACACTGTAGATAATGTGCATGACATCCTGGTCGTTAGGTCCATTTTATTGGAACATCAGGTTAAAATATGTTCATGAGTGCAGTTGTCAGATTGAAAGTACCATATGTTACTGTTCATATACCTTTTGCTCGCGCATATGTGATGCTTCATGAATGCAGTCGGCCACCTGTCTTGATAAAGAGACCGTCCAGCATCCTTCAGTGCTTTAATGTGTTCTCTTTCGATTCTCAATAAGCTCGGAAATGAATGTGGCACAGCATTCAACCACTAATACTCAGTTTTCTGTTCAGGAATGATTAAAGAACTAGAATTTGTCTTCCTAATCATTACAAAGTAATGTGCTTTACTATCTTTTTTTTTTGTAGAGCGGTACAGTGGAAACTACAGGAATTATATCTGCAAGCAGCGAATGACAAAATTCTCAAGGCTCCCTTTTCATGGAATTTGTCCTATAGAAGCTGCCTCAGAAAAAAAAAAGTCAGACTTCTTGATGGATTTTGAAACTAGTGTTGGGGGGGGCTATCTTTTTATGATATTGCTACAGACCAAAATGGCCGACTTCCAGTTCAATTCAGCCCATGGATCTTTAAGGCTTTTTTTTGTTTGTTTTTTGTGTGCATCCATTTATGAGAGACATTTCCACCAAATTTTGTGTCACACTTGATGTTGGGGGCCACTCTATTCATAACATTCAGCTACTTCAGACTGTTTCAAACCAAAATGCCTTACTTGCTGGTCAGTTAAAAGGTATAGGTCCTTGAGACTGTTTTGTGCGCCAAAATGTCTGACTACCTGCTTAAATTTTTGGCATGAGACTTTTTCATGGGTCTTGTTATGATAGACATGTCAACCCAATTTCATGCTGACTGGTGGAAGGCTGCTGAGTGAGTTCCGGATGTTGTGATGTTAATCCCATAAAGGAATGTTATGACCAGATTATTGCGAGTAACGGTTCAATACTCATGAACGGCGTGAAGTCAGCAACGGGTCACCAGGTGGAATCCTCGTAGATGAAGTTTTAGTCACGCCACGTTCAAAGATGTCTCCTGTTATCAGTCACTGTGGACGTCAGACTTCTTGATGTATTTTGAAACTAGTGTTGGGGGGGGGTGGCTATCTTTTTATGATATTGCTACAGACCAAAATGGCCGACTTCCAGTTCAATTCAACCCATGGATCTTCAAGGCTTTTTTTTGTTTGTTTTTTGTGTGCATCCATTTATGAGAGACATTTCCACCAAATTTGTGTCACATTTGATGTTGGGGGCCACTCTATTCATAACATTCAGCTACTTCAGACTGTTTCAAACCAAAATGCCTTACTTGCTGGTCAGTTAAAAGGTATAGGTCCTTGAGACTGTTTTGTGCGCCAAAATGTCTGACTACCTGCTTAAATTTTTGGCATGAGACTTTTTCATGGGTCTTGTTATGATAGACATGTCAACCCAATTTCATGCTGACTGGTGGAAGGCTGCTGAGTGAGTTCCTGCTGTTGTGATGTTAATCCCATAAATGAATGTTATGACCAGATTATTGCGAGTAACGGTTCAATACTCATGAACGGCGTGAAGTCAGCAACGGGTCACCAGGTGGAATCCTCGTAGATGAAGTTTTAGTCACGCCACGTTCAAAGATGTCTCCTGTTATCAGTCACTGTGGACATGAGTGGTCACGTTGGTGTGTTGTCGCAGTGAAATAGGATTGGAAGCCTTTAAATCGCTGCCATTTTTGGTTCGGCCAGCGGAGCTGGCTAATCAATTAACAGATCAGCGATTATGGGAGGCTTTCTTCAGTCACCTGCATCACCGCGTAAAACTTTAATCCAGCGGGACCATATGCTGCCACGGCCACGAACTTTCTGCCCTGAGGTGGTCCACACCTGTGGAATTGTTGGGCAGATCACCACAAATGTGTCCGTGTCAGTATTGGTCAGGTGCATGCAATGGGTCCTTTGGAATTTTTCATTATAGTTTGTTTCTATTTTGTTTTTCTTCTTTAGGAAGTTTTTTATTTGTTTTTAGAGCTTTTAATTTGTTTGACAATGCTTTACTTTTTAGTTGAGTTTTTGTGTTAGCTTTAGTTTTTAAATTTTTTTTTTTTTTATATATGGAGTATTTGATGAGTGCAAGACAGAAAAAAAGTCACTATTGTGTAATAAAATCAACTATTATTCCAAAATGACTGTTTGACCTTCAGGATGGCCTAACCATAATACTGAAATAAATATATTTAAAATACTTTGTCAACGCCAAAGCTCATGTATGAAATTAATGGACAAAGATGAACACAGAGCACATTTTTACGATATTTATCATTAGTTTTTACAGTTTTTACGAACTTGAAGACACAAACACTTGCCGTACAGAAAATGGGCCATTCTTGTTTTGTCTGTTGGACTCCATGACTGTATAGGCCATTCTTTTTTGTCTGTAGGACTCCATGACTGGGAATCGGCTGGAGACGTGTGTGGCGCAGTGGAGGAGTGGTTTGCAACCTTTTTTTCTAAATGACATACTTTGGCAGGAGCAGGAAGGCAGACGGACCTGTGAAGGATTTTTTTTCTGAATTATTGAACAGAATTTCAAGTTTGAACTTTTGTTGAATTCTTCTTCTGTGAAATTGCGACACTTGTTTATCCCCCTCGCCTTCCCGTCGCTCCTTTCGTTTGCAGTATCCTCCCTTCCTACTGGGTCACTGAACTAAGCTGTCTAAGCTTAGCTGCCCTCTGCAGCTAATGCTAACTAAGAAGCTGTGGAAAAAAAAAACAGGTGGTGCCGATGGGACATGACCCATCCCCCCCATCGCCCATCACATGTCCTCACCAGATTCACCAACATCTTCTTACTTGGCCCAACTATGGCTTTCTCCTATTGACACCATATCTTTCAAAACAGGATGCCATTTTTTAGGACTTGGCGACTTACTTGCCAAAAACTTGGTAAAGACTTGACTCTCAAGGGACGAGAATAAAAAAAAAAGAATCCAGCGTCCACAGTTTCAGGAACGAATCTGTTCCTGGTGATGCTGCTCCGGATTCAACGTAGCATCAGGGGAGGGAATGGAAGACAATATGTGTAGGATGAAGATCCTTATTGTCAAGGCCCAATTTTTGCGTGGATGTCAAAGTGTTCCTAATGAAGTGACTGGTGATTGTATGGAAGTGTGTGGGTGGGTGTTTGCCCGCTGACTAACAGTGGAGGGGGCAGGGGTTGAGTCACGGCACAGGTAAGCTTAACACTTGCTGACCTACATAAACAAGTTGGCAGCTGGACTGGAATCACACTGTTGTTCCCTTTTGGAAAGAAAATGTCTCCCAGTGATTGTCTAACATAAATCCGTCCATCCATGTTATTGTCGTTTTCTTCATTTGGCGAGCTGTAGAACTCTTCCAGCTTCCATCAAATAGTTACTGCATATAGACTATTAGTAAAGAAAACTTCACAGTTGAAATTAAAAATGGTTGGCAGATGATTGAACTTGCATTTTTTTTCACTTGGCAATAATTGTGGTCAAGTATGACAATTTCACATTTTGCTGGGCAGAATTCAATTGTGACCCCAATTCAAAAATCACCCAAATCATTTTTTTTCTCTTTTCAGATCTGATTGTTAAAGTCATTCAGCAAAATATGGGAGGACTCAAATTTGAAGAATGGAGAAAGGTTTGTGCTCTGGTTCATTTTGTACAGCTTTGAGACATCAAGTCACAATTTTAACGATTGATATTACCATTTTTTTCCTACGTCTCCTTATCATACACTTGATGCAGCCAGACAATGTCGTCCTCCTGCTCGAGGTATGCCCCTGACGACGTTCAACGTCAGTATAATCAACCGGATTGATTGACAAGGGTGACTGACAGGTGTTGTATCTTCACCCACTCAACAGGGGGCCTACTATGAGCTGGGGTTCCTGGTGTGCGCGACCGTCGGCGTTTTGTTCGTGGTCCTGGTCCCCGTGTTGGGCATGTGCTTCTGTGTTTGTCGTTGCTGCGAGAATTGCGGCGGAGAGATGCACCAGAGACAAAGGAAAAACGCCGATTGCCGACGAGGTTTCTTCACCACCACGCTCATCGCCACCACCATCACCATCATGTGAGGACTCCAAAACAATTTCATCTTGCTAACCTAGCAACAAACCACAGATACAAAAAAATATATACACACAATTTTTTGGGAGGGTGGATATTTTTCCTCTTCATTTAATGCTTGGTTTAGCTTGTCGCTAGGCAGAATTCATTGGGCGCAATTCCAACTGCCCCGCTACATGTGGCTAGGCAGAATTCATCAGGCTGTTTTATAACTGCTTGTTGCTTGTTAAAGTTTGATTGTAACTGCACCACCACTACTTGCTTGGCAGATTTGACATGGCTCGATTATAGCTGCCTCTTTACTTATTGTTCGGTCGAATCCATAACGCTTGATTGTAACTGCTCTTCTGGTTTTTGCTAGGCAAGGACTAATTTACCAGTGCTAGCTTTGTGTTACCTTGTAGGAATAATATGGGCTCAATTCATAACTGCCCCATTACTTGCTGCTAATCAGAATTCATAGGCCGCAGTTATAACTACCCGTTTGCTTGTTGCTAGGCAGAATCAATCAAGGGCTCAATCTTAATTGCCCCACCACCTGTTGAAAGGTGTTTCGTAAGGTTCGATTATAGCTCCTAGAATGAATTCGTTGACTTGATGACAACTTCCCACTCGAATGTTACAAGACAGAATTCATAAGGCTTGATTATAACTACCAGAGATCATATGGCATGATTACAAATGGCCAGCCACTTGTTGCTCGGCAGAATTTAGAGGGCTCAGTCATAACCATCCAACCATTTGCTGGTAGTGAGAATTCATTGGGCTAAATTATAACTGCCCTATTACTTGTTGCTAGGTTGAGTTCATTTGGCGCAGTCAAAACTACTCAAAGACTTGCTGTTGCCTGGTAGAATTCTCACTGGGCTCTCTTACAAGAGCTTTGGCAGCTTAAGCAGAATTTGTAGGCCGCAATTCTAACTTCCTGTCATCGGTTGCTCGACAGAATTACTGGGCCACCATCATGGCTGTTTCGATGCTTGTTGTGAGGGAGACTTCATGGGGCTCAATTGTAACTGCCCCATCACCTGTTGCAGTTCAAATTCTTCTTACATTTATTTTAGATAACATGATTTAAAAAAACAACAACTACCCCTTCCCTGTGTTGGAGCCATTGCTTCCCTTGAACTCCCAGTTCTCTTTTTTTTTTTTTTGTATTTACATTCAAAAGCAAATTAAATGTTCTGTGTACTGTATGTGTTAGTCTGGGGGTACTCGTGGCCTACGCAGCAAACCACAACCTGAGCTCGCACATCAAGAGCACTCGGCGGTTCATTAACACCAACATCAGAGACTTGAAGACATTCGCCAACAACACACCCGCGGTAAGCACTTTTTCCCCTCACTTATTCACTCATTCAGGTGGTTCAAAAAACCTTAAATTCACTTTTTTTTTTTTTTTTTTGGGCCACTTTCTTGCAGCAAATCGAATACATGACCGCCCAGTACACGACAGTCAAAAATAAAGTCCTGTCCGAACTCGACAGTAAGTGGGTGTACTGTACATTTAATGGATTCCGTCACAAATGTTGCCTTCAGTGTCTTATCGTGATAGATATTGGACCTTTACTGGGCGGGAGGATTCACAGTCAGCTGGAAAAGGAAGTGGTTCCGTCCCTGGACACGGCCTTGCGCATGGCAGGAGGTACGCCCGTTAGCCTTCTTTGAAATGTTGGTTTCATCTGAAAGATGCTCTTTGAGAACCCCTGCTTAATTTTGTAGCTCAAGCCTGTACCTGAAAAAGGGGTATATGACGTACGTCGCATAAATGAGCACATTGTGTTAAAAAAAAACTATTGTCCTGTTTTTTTTTTCATCTCACATGTTCTTTTCTTCTAAAGTTAAAGTTGAGAATGCAATCAAAGGTAACGGGAAAATATCCTGGATTTGTGTTTGTGACTAGACGTGTCAGTGGACCGGTTCTTGCGTGGTGTTCTGTCTTTAGTTTTGTGCTCTTGTGCTCCTTGTGGTTTTTTAAAAATGTCTATTTCTTCTTAATTTTGGGGCTCGAAATGTATTTCTGAGCAAAACATGTTGGCTTGCAGCCATGCGTGAGACAAAGGAGGCGCTGGAGAGCGTCAGCTCATCGCTGCAAATCCTCCAAGAAGGCACAGACGCGCTCAAGGACAGTCTGTCCACAGAGAGAGCGTCACTGTCCAACACCTTGTCGGACCCGGCCTGCACCAACGGCGCCGTGTCGCCGAGCTGCAACGCCATCCGCGCCACGCTTTTCCAGCTGGGCGTCAACGCCGACTTCTCAAAGGTGACCCCGGAGCCACGTTTCAAAATAAATGAAGGCGAGCTCGATGGATAAACTCTTTTATTGTCTTCTTTTGCAGCTCCCGGATGTCGACTTTGCCTTGGAGAATGTCCACACGGTCCTGAAGACAGACCTCAGTAACATTATACAGAAGGTCCGCTGTTAACAGGCACTTTTTTTTTTCAGAAACATCAAAGACAATTAGTAACGCGACATCAAAAGCAGTTTAGTTTTGAAAGATAGATACGAGAATTAAAAGGGGAGTTTTCCGTTTTCAAACTGCTATCATGATTTGAACGTAGCCGACCCACCGCTCACGTTATGGTTGTCATTGACCCTAACGTCCGTCCATTATCTGAAGCGCGTTTTTCCTAAGCATCAAAGACCGCTGTACGTTTTAGATGGGGAACTACATACTGTATATGGGTTCATGTATAAATAGATGACAATTTCAAGTTTTCAATGAATCAAATGTACGTTTTTTTTTTTCTTTTTCGTAAACAGGAGTAGTAATGTAACTTGGCGTGTTTTCGACTTGCCCTCATCTGTGATCCAAACGCTGATTTTTAAATTGGAAATTGTGAGTCGGACTTTGAGTCGAACTGATCTTAAAGATAATTTAGTCGTCCAAGAGCAGGTTTATTTCTCATTTTTAGTTTCTAACCCCGCCT